TTTTTTTTCTTTTCTTTTTTTTTTTATTCTGGGCCAGCTTTAGCTTTGAGGCTTGGCTCCAGCTCTTAGGCCTCTGCTGCTGAAAGTAGGTTTCTGGCCTTTGTTTACAATGTTGCAATCCTGCTGGCTGAAGCTCGGTGGACTAAAGCAGGTTTCTGGGGTTTTGTTTAGCTTCTATATTTGTTACATAGTTGCTTAGAATTGCAGCTCAGAGGCCAGCAAGGCAGGCGGGGAATGTTGGAGTCCTCCGTCACTTAAGCAAGCAAGCCTCATGTTAGTTTCAAGTTGCCTGGCTGCCGGCTGCCATCTTGGCTGGAAGTTAATTTGCATATCTCGCTGATTAGCCAATGGGAAGGGTAGCGGTCGTACGCCAATTACCATGTTTCTCTTTTATTAGATAAGGATATTGCAACACATCCCATCTATTAGTGGACTTTTTCTTTGTTTACAGCTTAGGGTCATAATAAGTAATGCTTTTGTGAATATATTAGTCTTTAGATGTACATGTATTTATTTCCCTCGTGTATATACTTAGGAGTGGAATTTCTGGGTCCTGAGGCATATCTACATTTGGTGGCTTTGGTAGATACTACCAAACAACTCAGCACTTTCACAGTATGAGGTAATTTGTTCTGAAGAGAAAAAACTGAATATTATCAGTATGGTAATGGTTCAAATCAGAGGATTCATAGTAGAGGGACACTATGAATGTTGTGAAAACTGGGAATCTGAATATAATGCATGTACAAAGACTTTAACCATAGTCTAAATCTTAATATAATAGCAGACAAATGTAATAAATGTGAGATTACCTTTAGCCACAATAATGCCTTATATGAAATCAGAAAGTTATACTAGAGAAAGGGAGGCACCTAGCATCTTCTTTGCTCAACATTAGAGAATTCTAACTGGATCAAAACCCTATGAATAAAATGAAGGGTGTAGGGCATAATCTTTACCTATGGCCTATATCTTACTGGTCATATAAAAATGATGAATATGAAAGTTAGCCATAGCTCAAATCTTACACAACACCATAAAGTTACATTAGATGAGAACTTTTCAAATGAAATTATTGTAAGAATGACTTTAGCCATATCTTACTCCTTATAAAACAATTCATACTAAAGAGGATATTTAAATTGAGACCAGATGAGGCTTTTAACTCTTAACTCTGAGAAATGGAGTTTCCATCAAAGAAGTCCACCCATACTGAGAGCATAATGCTAGAGTCTTCATGTAGTCACCCTGGTCATTATTAGCCCCAGCTAAGTTCCAAGTGATCACCCAACTCTTCAGATGACTGGAGCCCACTGGCACCCACCCAGAACCACATGACAGACCCCAATCAATAACTGCTCAGCCAAGGCTTTCTCAAATTCCTGACCTACAAAATGGTGACATCTTTTGAATTAAATTTGATATGTTTACTATTTACATATCTGGGGCATGCTACGGGACCCAGAGTCAAGTTCCTGCACACCTGCCACACCTCAAAATTACACGAGACCCAGACCCAGCCCTAACCAGTTCGGCTCAGTGGATAGTGGGTCGGCCTGCGGACTCAAGGGTCCCAGGTTTGATTCTGGACAAGGGCATGTACCTTGGTTGCAGCCACATCCCCAGTGGGGAATGTGCAGAAGGCAGCTGATTGATGTTTCTCTCTCATCGATGTTTCTAACTCTCTATCCCACTCCCTTCCTCTCTGTAAAAAATCAGTAAAATATATTTTTTTAAAAAGCAACTTATCTAATAAGAAGGGAATGTGCAAACTGACCATCACACCATAATGGTCAATATGGCTGCGCCCACAGCAGAGGCAGAGATTCCGTAACACAAGATGGCTGCACCCACAGCGGAGGCAGGAATTCCATAACACAAGATGGCTGCACCTACAGTGGAGGCTGAGTTCCCGTAAGGAGCCTTAATGAGCAATCAGCAGGTACCTGAGGCTGTGCCCCCTGCCTGATGGGGCTTGACAGAGGACCTCAGGCCATGCCCCCTACCCCGGTGCCAGGCTGGGGGACCTGAAGCTGTGCCCCCTGCCATACATGGCTTGATGGCAGACCTTAGGCTGTGCCCCCCACCAATGGGGCTTGACGGAGGACCTCAAGGCACACTCCCTGCCCCAGCCCAGGCCGGGGGAACTGAGGCCCTGCCCACCACCTGGCAGGGCTTGACAGGGACCTCAAGGTGTGCCCCCCGGCCCAGGCTGGGGGACCTTAGGCTGTGGCTCCTGCTCCAGAGCCAGGACGGGGGACCTCAGGTTGCTCCCCCTACCCTGCAGGGCTTGACAGGGGCCTTGAGGCTGTGCCCCCCAACCCGGCGGGGCTTGTGGGGGACCTGAAGCTGTGCCCCCTGCCCGGCACCGGGCCAGGGGACCTGAGGCTGCACCCCCTGCCTGGTGGGACTTGACAAGGGTGGGGCCAGCCAGGTCTGGATCTCGCCCATTGGGGGTGGGGCTGGCTGTGTCTCAGTCTCACGTGATTTTGAGCTGCCACGGGTGTGCAGGGACTTGACTCTGGGTCCCGTAGCGTGCTCCAGACTCTGACAGGTGGAAGATTTTCATATACATTTTATTAATTTTCTTACATCTCTGACACTTCTATTATAGAGAAAGGGCAAATAGCAATATTAAAATATTTCCTCTAGTTAATCCCCTTTTAATGTGCACAAATTTTGTGCACTGGGCCACTAGTTATAAATAAATCAAAATGGAACTCTAAAATTGTTTGATCAACTTACAAGTAGGCAAGGAAAAAGAAAGAAGTAAAAGAAACAGAGGGAAGCAGCAAAGGACAAATAAAATGACCCTAACACAGTGGTCGGCAAACTCATTAGTCAACAGAACCAAATATCAACAGTACAACGATTGAAATTTCTTTTGAGAGCCAAATTTTTTAAACTTAAACTATATAGGCAGGTACATTGTTATTAACTTAATTAGGGTACTCCTAAGGCTTAGGAAGAGCCACACTCAAGGGACCAAAGAGCCGCATGTGGCTCACGAGCCACAGTTTGCCGACCACGGCCCTAACAAATCAATAATTACTTTAAATGTAAATGGTCTAAACCACCAGGTGAGAGGCAGAGATTGGCACAATAAATAATTAACATGAACCAATTACATGGTGACTATAAAAATGTCATGTCAGACATAATGATATAGGTGTGTTGAAAGCAAAAATATATAAATAGTAAATGTAAACAGTAAAATATATAAATAGTAAATGTAATAAAAGAAAATAGAAATGGCAATGATAATATCAAATCAGACTTCAGAGTAAAGAAAATTAGTACCACCAACAGAACTTCAAAAT